CCAGATGCACATACATATATTGATTTGTTTTTTAATTCAATTGAATAGCCTGACAACTGCAATTAAAGAATGAAAGCAATACAAGTTCTGTTAAGAATTTATTGTTGTCTGGTCTTTCCACCAAATTAACAGAAAAGTATCGATAGTGGTATCGATGAAGACTCGGATCGTTAAGCAGTCTCAAATTGTATCAACATCAATAAAAAGGAATCATCCCCATCCCTTCTCTTAATTATACTTAAGTACAGTACTTGAGTAAATGTTCTTAGTTAAAATTTACAATAAAGTGTTGGAGTGTTACTTAAAATTAAAAAGATTTCTAATTCAATTTTACTATTTGATGATTTTTTTGCAGCTTTATGTTGTTTTTATGTAAAGTGTCTTTGAGTATCCAGAAAAGCACTTACAAATAAAATGTATTATTATTATTATTATTATTATTATTATTATTATTATTATTAATTGTTATGTACATCTGTTCCAAATATATCAGTTTCCCTAATTACTAATAATTGGTATTGTCCCTGCTAAAAAAAACACATATCAGGCGATCCCTAGACTTTGACAGTTTGATTGTTTTTTTTAACAGATTTCAGCAGGTTGATTTTCTGCTTTTAGATGCCAACGATCACTCATAGGACTCACTAAGGTCACATGGTCATACCCGGTCTCCAGAATATTGGTGCAATGACAGAGATTGAGTTTACTGGTTAGATCTGAATCCTTGCCTGATCTTGAACCAGTACAATTTGAAACTTATGGATAAGCTAAGGATGTAAAAATGCTTAAATCAGGATGATGTGATATTTTCAGTGTGCATCAGAAAATGTTTTAATAACATGCAACTCTATGTAGAAAAACTAAAGGCAGGAACACCCCTTAAAAATGGATTTACTCACTTTATACCTGTAGGTGCCATGGTTTAAAAAAAAAAAAATGCTGCTTCAAAGTCATCTGAACAACAACCAAATTTGCATAACCAAATTTCTGAATGCAGGTGCATCAAAACAAAGCATCAGATATCAAAAGGTCAGATTTGTATACACATATCTTTTGGAATACAACACAGAATGATCAGTTATAAGCTATTTTATCTTTTAGTCATCTGATTTTGAATACAAAGGGAAATGTTGCTTATTCCCATGTGAAGTCCAAACAGCAGAGATGTCATGATATGAATCTTTATTCCGCAGACAACAGATCCCTTCTTTACAAGACGTGAGACGAGCCCACCCGACTTACATGGACATGACGTCTGCTGCACAAGGAAAACGTAAATTTAACCGGTAATGTGCCACAAACATTTTACAGACTAAAGCTTTGCACAACATTAATAACCAGTTGTGAGTGTTAATCCTTTGATACTGTGTTTAATTACTTTTTCTGTTTTCCCCGTCCATTGCATTGACTGTAGCAGCATCCGAGAAGAGTTAACACAGGATCTCTCCGCACCGAAACGTATAAAGAAAGATCCCTCTGTGTCACGGAGACCACTCAGAGTGCATCGTTTTGCTGGTAAGTGTCAAAAACACAGTTCAAGAAGTAATTTCAGACCTGAAATGACAAAATACAAAGTATAATGTCAAAGTTCCAAAGGTTGTAAATTGTAATCATGACATCCACATGCATTGATTCAGAGTTATTAGGAATGAAGAAGTTTACTTGTGTTCATTGTTGGTACTATTAATCGGTGTCTGTCCACAGGTTCAGAGGAGAATAAGCCTCGAAGAGTTGTGAGGAGCATTTCTGAAGGAAACCTCAGCCTGCTTGAACCTCAGAAATCCAAATCCATTTTCTATAAAACATCCCAACAGTTAAAACGAGTGGCCAAACGAATGTAAAGCAAAAATCGGACCATTTCGCCCTTATGAACATTTACACACTCCACCCCTTTTCATCCGTATTCATCTTTTCAAAATATTTTCTCAAAACCTAAAAAAAAAAAGTGGTTCATTGTGTAGTTTTTCCAACACAAATGCTAAAGTAATGAGATGAAATGTAATATAATAACATTATCTAGTTTTGCTCTTTGATTAAGCCTTACACTGCATTGAAATTGTACTTACACATTGTATATAAACATTGTAAAGTTATTGGTTGTCAGTTTAGATTCTTGTGATTGTTTAAGAGCCAATTTCTGGCATTTCTAATCCTTCCTTTAGATTTGACGATATTTTAAAGCTCATGTACACACTAACACCAAGAAATAAAACATATCCTGTCCCCTATGTTTTACGTACGTTATGTACTTTGAACTATCCTATTAACCAATGATCAGTCTAGTCAGTGAACAGTCCCAGGGCAGCTAATCTCAGAGGTAGACCACCTGAAATGGAAGTACGGCACAAAAACAATCGTGCTTTCATTTCATTATTTTAATTTTTATTCTCATTTCTCTTGTACAGTTAATAACATAGGGGTTGTAGATATTTCATAATAAAACAGCTTTTTCCATTGGTTTTATTGATAAATAAATAAATGTCTTTACAAAATGAAAAAACTGCTTTTTTTGTGCTATTGATTTTGAGTCTGAATGTGGTTTTCAATGAAGTGTGGGATACAAAATGTTCAGAAAATAAATAAGTGACACAGTACAGGCTCAGGGAAGTTGAAAAATATAATGGCAAGAAAGATTGAACTGACCTGGCAGAGACTCGCAGCAAAACTCACAAAGATAACTTTCTTTCTTTATATTGAAAAAACAACCGTTTCATATGCCTTTAGGGAAAAAAAGGTGAACTCCAAATGTGATCGATAGGACGCCATTTGTCTCTACCAATGCCTCGTGGGGTATATTTCACCACTTTACAGAACGCTGACAGAAAGAGGCGTTCCTTTAAGATTAAACAAAGGATATAGACAATTATTGCCAAATATGTATATGCATATTTATGCAAAGGAGGGAAATTAATTCACAAATCAAATTACAATTATGTGTGAGGCTGGCTGTTTTTTTGTATTTACAGTAACAAGCAAGATCCCACCTACGATAGGTGGTGTAGTACGCCCACCAACCTGAGTCAGTTGTAACACGCAACACCATAAGAGGAGATAAAATCCGGATAGCGAGCTAACAGGGAACTCAAAACAGTTAAAAGTAATGGATCAAAAAGATAAAAAGAAATTAAAAAATGGTTTAAATAGCAAAAAGTACTGAATCATTGTTTGAAATGGACACTTAAATGTAATGGATAAATTATTTAAATAAATAGCTGAAAGAGATGAACAGTGGAATTAGCTTAAAGTAATGGATGAACACTTAAAACAGTTGAAACACTGAAAGGGCAGACTGAGGTGGCTGTTGTGTTTTGTATGTTTAGCCACACGATTCACTTTAATTATGGGTTTGGGCATGCGCAATGAATTCAGTTCATTTTGAAATGGACACCAGAGACCAATCTTGCAATGTTAATGAAAGTGAAAAACTATTGCATACAAACCAAAGCAACCATAACACTAACAAATAGATTGTAAGAAATAAAACATATGGTAACAATATCTACTTTTTCTATAATAAACTGTTAAATATCACGATCCGTTCATAAAGAACATGACTGCTGTGGAGGATCATCTGATAGAGCTGCGGGGATACGTTTGGGAACCACTGCTAAATACGACTTTTGAATTGTATTTCAAAGATATTTTAGGCTTTCCTGTGTTGCATTTTTATCCTGATCAAATGTGAAGTTTTGTTTGAAAGAAGCTTTTATTAGAATTCTTTACTAAAAACGAATGTCAAAAAATACCTCCTGGATCTGTGACGAGGGTGGGACCTCATTGCTCTGTCGGGAGAGAACTAGACTTGTCACTTTGAATTCAGTCTTGCAACTTTCAGTGGCACAGCATTCAGTGTGATCTTTATTTTTAGCTCAGGAGCTCAATGCATATATCAGCACTGTACTGCGCAAGCACTGACACCCTCTCATGCTCTCATTCACAAGAATCTCTTCATTGTGTGTGTGTGTGAGAGGGAGAGAGAGAGGGACTGAGTGTGTGTGCGCACACAGGGAGGCAGGTCTTGGCTAAAGTTTATTAACTTTCTCTTAGCCAATGGGGTGCCTTGTGCGTTTTTCCTGCTGACCAATGGGACAGATTGAGAGGTTGGAGGTGGGTGTTGCTTAGCAACTGCAGGTAGAATCTCAGATCATGTCGGACCCATTGTTTTATCTTGCCTCCCTGAGAGACATTACATGCTATGTGTTGTGATTTGTTAGTAAAAAAAAAAAACACCTCTGTGCAAATGCGTCACAAAGTTGTTAACTCTATTTATGTATTGTTAAACAAAGATCACGGTGACTTTAATGGCATTTCGCACCAAAGTCAGAGCACTTTTAATTGATTGTCATTATGTTACTACATGTAGCTGTCTTATTTTCATCGCCAAGTCACTGGAGCACATGCAAGTGAATTTTGATTATATGGTTTAATTTTTTTCCCCTCCTGGTTACAGGGATAATAACCTTTAATGAACCTCACACGGAGTCAGAGATGAGTGGTTATGAACTTAAACAACAGACCATCCTGCTAGAAACAAAGATTCTACATGCAGATGAAACGTCAGCATTTGCTTTTTAACCCGCTGCACCCCCAGATACCATCACACTAACGCACACAAAGCACAGATGCAATTAATTATGATTCTTTATTATAATTCTGATTCAGGAAACCTTGAGTGTTGGCCTAAATTACATTTAGAGCGTGTTTTGGTAAATCCAGTGTTTGAAAAAGAGCCTTTATGTTTGTGCACGGACAGGAAGAGAGACACTGACTGCCACATACAAATATAAGCATATGATTCCTCCTACAATGTTCCTGACTCCCACAAGGCAGCACGTCACAGCTGTGAACTTTTCATCCCCTGTCTAATTAGATGACCTGATATCTTACAGCAATATGTCACAGTGGAATAACTCGTGGAGAGCTGACCACGAGTACTGTCTGTCCTTTTACCACTAATAGTGTCGCTTGTTGGCTTTTGCTTTACCTCTGTTAGCCTAAAATTGTATGTCACCTGGAAATATGTGTACATGCTTGATGCGTGCAAACAGTTCACCGTGTCCCATGTTGATGTGAACACGCTAAAAAAAGATTAATATTTCAGATTCAAAGAGTGCTTTAAATAATTGTTAAGAGCAGCCTTGGTATTTATTATTTTAGCTCCCCCGCTCTTCCTTTTGGGGGGACACTGGTGCATTTGTGCATAGTTCAGTTCATTTTTTTAAAAAAAGAAGAAGACAAAGAAAAGATTAAAAGGGTAGTTGTGTGACCTGTTATAGAAGAAAATTAAAATGTATTTTTATTTTCAGTCAAAAATATAGCATCATAAGCTAGGCACAAAAGAGTTGCTTTTGCTCATTGCTCTGTCCCGTGATGCTAAATGCAAATATTTAAATGGGGGTTATGGAAATTCCTGGGATGCACCCTGAATTTGGCATGTAAAGCAGGGCCAAGAGGATTGTTGTTTACACCATGTACAATTGTTTCCAGTACATCTGTACAACAGTAGAAAGCAAAGGAATAGACATATAAGTATAAAATAAAAATAGTTAAAATATCTGTAACTATCCACAAAATTGTAGCACATTTGGGGGAGATACTTCAACTCAAAAGGCAGTTGAACAGAGTGATTCTGGATAAGGTAAGCCCTCATAGCTTACATCTTCACAGAGATTTAAACTAGTGCAATGATTGATCAGTCATCAGTCAATGAATCTGCAACAATTCTGATAATTCTTTAATCGTTATTTATTAATTATTAATTTCAATATGAGAATTTGCTGTGTTCTTTCTTGATCTGGGGTTTTGGACAAAACCTGACATTGTGATTGTGATGACATTAATCCACAAAGAAAATAATGTAGATGGCTAACAAGGTTTTTTATCCTGTCAGATGTTACCATTGGATTATTTCGCAGAATAGCTACAGCAGAAATGTCTCTGGATAACATGTGGTGTACACGTATTTGTTCGTCCCCACCAGCAGTTTGCTTTCAGAAATGTTCCACGTTACAATCTCCCTCTACATTTTACCCAGCAAACAAATTTTGTGAAGAAAACAATGTGGCAGCAAATACCTGGCTCCCTTTATCAATACATAGCTGACTGTTGGCAGGACCTTGTGCAGTGGTTATAGTGGGGGATGGGTGAGATTTACAGTTTCCTTTACCAGGTAATGTCTCCTGTTGTGAAACAATGTGACAGAAAATCAGTACAGCTGTGATGGCTCAGCAGTGTTCTTTGCCCCTCTACATTCTCCTCCAGGAGCTTATCCAAAGCCCACCTCAAATGTACTGTATGTAGCCTGTGGATGACTCATCCTCAGGAGAATGAGCTGTATGGTGCAGGTAGCCTTGCAAATAAACATTTCACGATTTGCAGAGTCTACTGAAGTGCTTTGCTGACTTACAGTCCTAACCCACAGACCGCAAATATAAACTCTGACAACCCAATTCTGTTTGATTCTGCCTGTAAGGCAAACAGTGTAAAATATCCTCTTGTGTTAATGTGTCCCTTCTGTGTTACACATGTAATGACTATATCACTAAAACACACAACAATGAGGCAATTTTTAGTCATTTTGTTTATTGAAACAGCAAATTTGTCATCATTGCACCAATTGCCATGGAGACAGGGTTAAGTCCCAATCCTACTGGTATTATACAGTGCATGAGTGTATGCTCATTACCCTTTACCGCGACTTCCAGGAAACACTGCACAACTGAGTGGATGGGTGACTCCCTCTCTTTAAGATGGTTAGGGAATATGCAGACATTCAAATGATCTTTCGTTTCCCGGCAGCCTTTCACACCTGTTCCCTTATAACGCCCTTTAAATCCTCCCTTGCTCCTCGTTCAGTCCCTGTTGCGCTATTGTATTTGCTTGTGCTGTTTAAAGTTTGTCACTAATGTCACTATTCACCACCTGATGATGACGCTTTTGTGAGAGCTATGTCTAAATTTTGTTGATTTAAATTAGACTCGGTCTGGGTACCAAGTCTATTTTTGAGGCTGGGTCTGCAAAATGACTGATGAATATTACCACTAATAGCCAGCATGTACGTCTTTGGTGGCAAATAATATGGGTAGAGCAGTGCTTTATAACATTTTTGACCTGTGACCTGTTAAAAGCTACATCCACTTGCTACCGTTTGTCACAGTTTGCATATGTCTAAGGGCTATGACCATGGAAATCAAAGCATGAATAAACCCTCTCAGATTATTTTATTTTAAAGGGACATTGTGTAGGAATTTCTCCCATCTAGCGGTGAAATTGTATTTTGCATTCAAACGAATAGTGCTCTCTAGTGCCTCGCGTTTTCAAATGCGTATTGCAACTACGGTAGCCGCTATGTACCAAGAAGCCTACCTGTCGAGGAGAAAGTAGGAAACTTCTTTTAGCTAATAAAATACTTAAAACACTACACAATGTCCCTTTAATACTTTAAGAGGCATGAAGTGGTAAAATTATCAAGAAATTCACAATAAACAGTAAATATTAGTA